TGCCTTGCTCCAATGTGCATACCATCTGAGACATAAGCAATCCAACTAAAATTGGCAAGCTCTGGAGTCCTGGTATCTGATATCTCACAGTAGCAATCTTCCTTTTTAAAAAGTTCCCCAAGAAACTGTAATGAACTGAAAGAGTGCCTCTCCATGAAGATTTAAAGTATGGAATAGTTCCTAATGACCTTTAAAGCTAAGGTATTTCTGCTCCAATAAATAATATAAAGTTGTTGGCTGTAGTCTACTTTTGACCTTAAAGAGCGACTATTTTATGTGGTTCACTCTACCTCCCTGTAGGCTGATGGAATACTATGAGCAAACTCCCACCATGGCAATAAATCTTAGCTTAAATATATCCCACTATCATCTCTGCATCAACTTCCTAGGTTTCTACCTTTCCTTTGAGATTGTAATTTTGAGGAGTTAAAACAGTCCTATATTACTTGAAGGGGGAACATCAGTATAATAGCCAGGCATGGTGGCACATACCTGTAATCCCAGCACTCTGAAGGTAAAGGCAGGAAGATCAGGAGTTCCAGATCATCCTCAACTACATAGAAAGTTTGCATTAGACTGAATTCATAGCTATCCTCACCCACACACAGCCCATAGGCCACGGGTTAGACATGCTTATAGAGGCCACATCCTTTCACATACAACTTGAAGCTTCAAGTGATCTAATTCACCCATGTTATGCCATGCTGGGATGACAAAGCCCGTAGACTGGCTACTGAGCCATTGGGTGTCAGTGAACCACCATGTTCAGTTCTGGCCTTCACTGCTGAGTGTCTCAACCATTGTTGTTGTTGCTGTTGTTGTTGTTGCTGCTGTTGTTTTGAGGCAGGGTCTTGCTATGAAGCCCTGGCTGACCTGCAGTTCCCTTATGCAGATCAGGTTGACCTCAAACTTAGGGCAATCCTCCTGCATCTGCTTTCTAAGATTATAGCATGTGTTAGCCATGCTCAGCACCAACAATTTTTTTATACCTGCCCTTCAGGTCTTTTGTGGCCATGGTCATGCCTCAGTATGACAACAAAGAGACAGCACCTAGTTCTGGTCAGCTTTCATGACTGGATTAGATGAACACGGTACTCTGTTCTTAACTTAAAAATATCAGACATCAGAATGATGGTCTGCCCGAACAAGCAGAGCACCTGACCAGAGTAAGATTACCTGGCATCTGCTACTTGTTCAACCTCAATATCTCCTTATTGACCCAGAATAAATCACTCAATTTCTTTACGCTCAATTGTCACACCTACCAAGTCAAGACAACACTCCTGGTCCAATCTATTTCACAATAATACTTAAGTGAACCAGTGTACCTAAAGCTGTAATACATAAGTCAATACACTTAATCTACCTCTTTGTTCTCAGAACTCAGCAGTGTGTGTGGCATTCTACAAACGTTTGTTGAGTGCATAAGTGGATTAAAAAAATATACATGATGACAGTAAAAGAAAATGTTCAGGAGAGTTACCTATGTAAAGCAGCCAAATAAAATATTATTTAGATTTTTCACTTACAGAAATCTTTAAACAGAAGTGATTTTAAAACAAGATGGAAAACTCTGAACTGTTCTCAGTTTAGCTTGATATGTCCTTTGATCTAGAAAACCAAGATATTCTTATTCAGAGCAGGAAAAAATATAGGCAAAAAAATGCAATGTTGTTTAGTGGGTCACTATAAGAAAAAAAATAAAACGTGAATTTCTTAAGAATTTCTGTATTTGAAATTTAAATAGCCATTGGTTTGTTCCAGTGTTATGGTCAGGTGGGAAGCAGAAAAGAATAGCATTTTGTACTGTGGTCAAGTTGATCCAGCTAACAAAAATTTTGCCCAATGAGTAGAAAAAAAGAATGTCCAGCTGAATCTAACGGCAAGCTGTTTAACGAAACAATTCCACTGAAAAAGCTTATTCAGCTAGAAATCTTCAAATGATGATTTAAAAAAAAAATTATCCCTCTCCCCTACTGGGAAATTATCTTTGATACTACCTGAACTCATGAACTGGGATTTTGAAAAACGTGTTGTCGGTTCTATGTGCCACACCATGGCCAGAATCTAAATTATATCAGGAACCACAGTGATTAGAGAAGGGCCCTGGTGAGATGGGAGGCATTTCCAAATAGATGAAATGGTATGAATTAAAGACCTTTGTCTAAAACCACTTAGAAATAGAGTTTACAACAATTTGCAAAAAAAAAAAAAAAAGAGGTTAGGATCCACACTAAGAAAAATTGACATTCTTCCCAGTAATAGAAGCAAGATCAGCAAAACAGAACAACCCAGGACAGGGGAAATCCCAGGCCTCTCAGCTCTACACAGGAAAAGGGTGGCGACTGTGCAGGGTCTGCCCTACTGTATATTGTATAATCAGTGGTCAAGAGTGATTGATCACCCACCATGTGCTGGGGGTCATGCTAAGCTACCTTGTTAGCTGCAGACACTTGGGGGATAAGGGAACAGGGATTTGAAATAACTTGAACAACTGATGTGCTTAGAACTCAAAAGAGTCTAACAAAACCAAAATAAATTAAAGATACGCAATTTCTGCACAATGCCTTATGGGCTATAAACATTTTTAATGCATCTGACTGCTCAATTCTGCACACAAGTCTTGACAGTCTAACTCTACTTCCTGATAAGTTAAAAAAAATTCCCCCCACTAAAGTCCAAGACAGTTTTTCCCTAAGAGAGACCATGAGAGTGCCAGATCTGGTTGTTGCTGACATAATTTTCAAAAGGAAAAAAAAAATCCCTGGGTCCCAAGTATTCAGAACTTCCCCAAAGGTGAACTGGTTTTGTTTCATTTGTGATGTTGTGATGCTGTGATGTTGCTTTACTGCAGGACTTAGACCCTTGACTGGCCTAGCAAGCATGATCCATCCCAAAGAAAGTTTTCTCTAAATCACCTGGTAAGGGGACACCTCCTCGGCGCCCCTTTAGCATCTCTCAGAACTGAACAGTGTTTGGTAAACACTATTTAGGAAATGCTAATATAGGTTCATTTCACCTGGAACCCAACCCATTCCAAGTCTCAGATATTTTATTCACATCCTTCAGGAATAAAAGTTATCAGAAAGAAGCTTCTAACTTTTTCTCTGGCATATTGACTGCATCAAGCAAACTTCAGACTCTCATTGGTGTCACACAATCTCTCAACAACAATCTAGAGCGAATGAAATCCACCAGGAAACCTCAATAAATCCTCACGCTATGTTCCGCTCCTGGGATCTTGGATGTGACTGCTGTGGAGTAGTGCTGGACATTAGGGGTGTTAAGGTTCCCTCAGCATCATGATAAGCGGCTAAATGGGGGTTCACCAAAGCACAGGATTACCATGATTCCCACTTCTTAGCAGTTAGACTTCCAGTTGGCTTCCAAAATGCCTATGCTAGAAAGTTCTCAGATAGTTGATGCTCAGTATAATGCTTCAAAAGTTCAGGTAGTGGGTCATGATAGGGAAAAAAGGATCATTTAACCAAACCTAATGCATGAGCCCAGACATCCCCCTTCCTAGCCTGGGTCTGGCATATGTCCATCATGGTCTCTAACAGGCCTGGAGCACCACCTGCTATTTATTCATTCATGGACATTCACATTGGGCAGTAGAAGGTAGTGGGGAAGAGCTCTGGCTCTGAAACCCATTTTAATGCTGGATTCACCATGCAATAGCTATGTGACCAGATAAGCTGCCTAACATCTCCACTTTGGTCTCCTCATCTGTAAACTCTAGCTAATAAACCACTATTTAACCAAGTCAATCCACAGAGAAGTCTAACACAGAGACTGACACATGGTAAGTTTCCGAAGTATTGGCTATCGTTATTTTCAAGCCTGGGTTTCTGCCCTAAGCTTCAAGGGATACAGAGAAAAATTAAGGCTATGCTATTGCCCTCAAGGAATTTACAACCAAGCACAGGAGACAGACAGGTCGACTGTGGTATGTGCAATTGGGCTTCCGTGGCATTGTGCAAGGTTCAGGAGGAACAAAAGAGGAAGTCTTCCTGGAAGAGATAGCCTTAGACATGGCCTTGAAGGGATGAATAGAGGCATAGGCTCAGTCACACAATACTAGAGGGTCCTAGAAGAGAAAAAAGGAAGAATTGGAGACAACTGTCTGCATGGAATGAGTTCGCCAACCACAGTGGGGTTAGGATGCCATCCTCTTCCAAGACTGGGCTCAGGCTTCTGGAACACTCTGTCCATCCCTGGTACTATGCCTGTGTCCTAGTTTGTTTCTCCATTGCTGTGACAAAACATTCTGACCAATACCAACTTGGGGAGGAAAGGGTTTATTCAACTTACATCTCCCAGGTGCAGTTCATCAGGGAGCCCAAGGTAGGAACTCAGGGCAGGAACCTGGAAGCAGGAGCTGGAGCACAGGCCATGGAGGAAAACTGCTTACTGGCTTGCTCCCCTGGCCCCTGCTCAGCCTGCTTTCTTATGCAACAGAGACCTACCTGCCCACGGCTGGCACTACCCACAGTGGGCTGGGTCCTCCCACATCACTCAACAATCAAGATGTCCCATGGCCATGGCCACAGGCCAGTCCAATGAAGGCAATTCCCCAGTTGACACTCCCTCAACCGAGGTGTATCAAGTTGACACTAAAGCTAGCCAGCACAGCCTGGTAGTGAGCATTCCCACAGACTCTCCATGCAGCAGCCAGGATCTATGCATTGGGACAGAAAGGCCCAAGATGGTCCATGGTGTGGTGTGGAGGGGGTAATGGGGTGGCAGACAGGCCCATCAAGGAGTGGCCACAGCCATAGGAGGCAGAACCGACCTTGGGAATTCCACAAGGCATAGAAATCCCAGGTCAGGTCTCTGCCTCAGCCCCTTCAGGAAATCCTGTCAGTCAGCCAGGACATATATACAGCTCAGAGTAATCAGTCCACCAAGTCCCTGGATCTGCTGTTGCTTCTGTGGAGAGGCAGCACCCAGGGAAAGAAAAGAAAAAGATTTAAAGTAGATTCAGATATGAGAAAGAATTCACTGGGCATTCGTCAAACTAAATTAAATAGCTAAGTGACTCTGACAGTGCCTGGCACCAGAAGGAACAAATAATTCCTCAGCATGCTACAACATTTAATCATTGTCTTTCTGGGATTATTTGTACAAAGTACCTGCTCCCCGGCTGAAGCCACAGGACTGGTAAGATGAGCTTTCATATGCTTTTACTTGTTGATTTTCATGCTGTATTCAGAATGTTTTTGTTTTCCCATATTTTCTTGGGTAAAAAGCCCTGTCTTGGAACGCATAGAATCAAAAGAAAAGTTGTAAGAATAAGAGTCTAATAGGCACTGTCTTTCTCTGGGTGGATTGACCCGGTTGGTTCAAGTCTGGCGTTCAGGCTTAGCTGCTGCAATCTGAATTTAGTGCTGACGTTTCTCTTTCCACAGCAGAGCTGGATATTCTGGTTTTGTTTCCATTATCTTATCACAGTCAATACCTACCACCCCATCCTTCCAAGTGTAGACCATAGCTTCAGCTTTAGAAAGATACTCAGGGGAATTCCAGGGTGGATGGGGTCTTGCTGAGGAAAGTAAATGTCAGGCACATTTACAAAACTCACCAGGCATTCATGCATCCCTCCTGCCTTCCTCAGACCTGCAGTGGGACAGTGAGGGCCTTGTCCAGCCCATCAGTACAGAGGACCCCAGAGTAGCTCCCATAGGCGCCATCCCAATGTGAGGCCAAGTCTTAGAAACAACCAATCTAGGGTGATTATTCAAAATGTATTTTGTAATATATGATCTCTGGTCTATTAAGAATAAATCTCAGCCGGGCGTGGTGGCACACACCTTTAATCTCAGCACTTAGGAGGCAGAGGCAGGTGGATCTTTATGAGAATGTGGGAAGACAGCAGGATGAGCACTTTTCCAGCTCAGAAGCTGGAGAGGGCATATTTGAACTGTGACTTTCAAATTTCAGAGGGCAAGTCACAAGGCTGCCCACTTTGCTAGCTGTTCAAGCCTGAGCATGTAAATTAATCCCACTAAGCTTCAGTTTCTCCCCAGATAGGACTCCACACATTGGTAGGACCTGTCATCATCATCTTCACTGTAGAGGGCTTGCTTCTGTGTAGAAGCCTGGCCCTGGCTAGTGTCCAAAGCTGAATTTATTCTTCAGTTGGTTTAAGTTGATAGATGAGTCATTTCACTGAAAAAGGTAATTCGAAGGTGATCAAAGAATGTAATATTTTTCTAAGTTTTGTGTTTCATACAATAGTTCTTAATTCAATTTGCACCTCTGTCCCCCTTTTACGCCCCACATACTTCCCACCAGACTTCAGGCATTCTGACATACATGTTAAGCCCTAGCCAGTCAAGCATTTATACCCAGATGTCCTTCAGTGCCCTGGAGTCTAGTCAGCCTATCTAGAGATCTTAAGGAAGATCTACTCTTCCTCACCCAGTAGTAATCAGTTGTCAACAGTTTTTAATAAATTGAAAACTACATGGAAACAAAACTTGAAGAGTATGTTATGTGCATTATTTGAAATGAAGACTGAAAAAATTCTATACTATGGATGGCAAAACACAAAGTACTGACAACCTAAATATTAATGACACTTCACAGAAGAATTAACAATCCCAAAACTACAAAGACAGAGAAAACTGGGGAACAATGAAGAGAGCTACCCCTTAAAGCATCTCACCTATAGATAATTTATATTTAGCATTTGTCATAAGAATGTACAAAGGATAAAGGACAGTCTTTTAAACAGAGTGCAGAGAATGATGGGTTTCCGCATACGAAGGAAGCTAAAGAATTTTTAATATAATCTCATGTAAACGCTCTTTGTAGCTGAGGATAGTCTTTAATTTCTGATCCTCCTGCCTCCACCTCCTCAGTGAGAGGTTTCCAGGCCTGCGCCACCACTGCCAATGTAGTGGTAGAGAGAAAGCCAAGGTCTTTGAGCAAGCTAGGCAAGTAATCTACCAACTGAGCTACATCCCCAGCCCAAAGGATTCCTCTAAAAGAGAGTAAAATTGCGCCCATTAAGAAGGAAAAGTCACAGTGGTATCATTCTATCCACCTAACTAGAAGAAACCCCAACATAAAGGAAATCCCACTTTTAAAAGAATGGAATAGTGCCAGGACAGTTAAAGAGTTAATCCAAACCGCATCTAAATGTAGCTTTTGTCATTCATTATACCACAAGGGATAACCAGGGATGTTTTGGTTCATAATGATCATCAAACAAGCTTCAAGTAAAGCAGAGAATTCACCTTTCTCTATGCTACACGTGCAGGGAGAAAGGGCTAACTGATGAATCAAAAGACCAGTAACTGAGTGTGACCTTTGGCATGTCACTGCATGTTGTAAAACACCTCCAGTACTCTCCACCCAAATTAGTGATAATTATTCTCTTTCTCTCCAAAGCAATGAAAATCAAATAAAATGATGGCTTTGGAAGTATGTATAACCATAAAGTGTTCTGCAAATGTAAGGATTATTCCTCTGCAGACTTCACATATTGTAATGAGGTAGTGACGGCGTTCCTCCTATACCTAACCAGTTCTATGCTCTTGGGATGACAAATATAAGACATGGCCCTGTTCATCCTGGAGTTCTTAAACAGAGAGCAAAGCCTAATAACTGGGGGTCGAGGGGCTCAGTTGGCCTAGCATGCAGGAAGCCTTAAGTTCTATCCCTGGCTCTGCGCATACTGGATGTGATGATGCACACCTGTTATCCTGGGAGGTGAGGCAGAAAGATCAGGAGTTCAAGGTCATCTTCAGTTACATAGCAAGTCTGAGGGCAGTCTAGCTACCTGAGACGCTGTTTCAAAGGCCAACAAAGAAACCAACAAACAAACCACAACAACACAAAAAAATCCTCTAGGCCGGCCATGGGAAGCAGAGGTTGAGCCGAAGAAACAAGGAACGTGTGTGGGCATGTGGAAGAGAGGGAACGCAAGCCCTTGAGGAATCTAGATTGCTTAACTGAGGGGAAGAAACAGCATTCCTGTGAGGCCAGGCCACCAACCAGGCTCAGAGGTGGCATGGAGAAGAGTTTTCAGAAGCCAGTGTGCACTACTATGTCTCTTCAGGGACTGTGCCAGGCAACTTGCACCTGGCATGTCACCTAAAGGTAGCTATTGACATCTCCCTTTTACAGATAATAGCAAAGGGTAGGCGCTCATTTAAAACTCTACATTTTGCAAGATAGAGCTCCGTCCAGACTTAACCTTTGGCTCTGAAGTTCAGAGTATCTTCATTGTACAAAGCTGCTTCATCTTAAATTTACTGGAATGATTAAGGAAAGACAGGAAGGACTCTATCAGGGAAGGTCAGGAGTAACAGGGAACCAAAGTCAGTCTGTATCATTTAAGCCGTTCATGAATGGGCCATCATATGTTGCCAAATAACTGTTCCTGGTATGTCTGTCTGATGTCCCCAATTCATTCATTTGATCAGCACATGGTTGCTGGACACCACTGTGTGTCAGACAGCATTCTAGGAGCTCAGGTAAGAGCAATGGACAAAACAGAAAAACATCTGTGTTCTCATGCAACGTGCTTTCCAGTTGAATTGAAATCTAAATACTGCAGATACCTCTGGGACAGGAACTGCATTCATCACCAAATTTAGCACAGCACCAGTCCCATGGCGGATACTCTTGTGAAACCAGTTCTGAAAGATTATCCTTGAAGATGATTGAACTATGAACAACTGGTCTTGAATGCCCTACTGTAACAGCAATTGGTTTGAAACAGGTATTCTGTAATGTTTCAGGGTCCTTGTTTTGATAAATGTATTGGCATTCCATTACCTTGTAGGACTACAGAGTGCAGATGAGGGGTGATACCTATATATAAAACAAGCAGTGTCCCTGTCCACACCCACAGCTGAGGCAGACATTGCTTGCTGATCACTGAACCCAACACTTTCCAGATAAGGTTGAAAGCAGCAAATCAGTCAAAAGCAATCAACCTCATCACTACCCCTGACTTTCCAGTGAGATGAAACAGATGGGGAAGTGACCACACCAGCTATTTTGCAAGGCTCTGATAATGGGAATCAATGTTCTCTGCTGTGTTTGCACAGGCAAAAAGATGTGATAAGAAGTCTGTTATAACAATCAGGACAGAGTGCCAAACCTGCTCGCTGAATTTTGCAGTCAAGTGTCCAGATGGTTACACCAAGATTACCAATGGCTCTGTCGGGGTTCGAGATTGCAGGTACTTGTTATGAGAAGATAAGTGTGCCCACGTCTTGGTACCTTAGGAATTGTGACTCCAAATTGAAATGTCTGATTTAGCAAAGCAGATCCCTGACTTTTCTCCTATTTTAAGACTATACCTTGAGTCCAAATTTAGGTAACTCACAATTTATGACCTTGAGTCTAAAGCTTTATGACTGCTGACTCGCATTTTAATACATAAACACTGTCCTTCCTCTTACCCATCTTTGAGTTTTGTTTCATCTAAAGAGTTCTCTTGCTAGGAGGATAGCTCAATAGGTAAAAAAGTTTGCTCTGCACACATGAGGACCTGAGTTCAAATTTCCAGCAGACATATAAAAGTCCAAGCATGGCTATGTGTGCCTTTAACCCCAGCACTGGGTGTCAGAGACAGATGGAGCCCTGGAGCTCACTGTCCAGTCAGCATAGCCCAAACAACAAGTTTCCAATTCAGTGAGAGACCCTGTCACAAGGGAACTAAGAAGAGATGGACAGAGGACAACACCTGACATTCTGCTCTGCTCTGGGCTCTACATTCAAGTGCATAAGCACACACAACTGCACACTTGTGATCATGCGCCCACCCACACACACATGCATACTACATACACCATGCACACACACATAATATATACAACTAACACACACCAGGTACACACATAGCACACATCACACAAGCATAACACACACCACACAAGCATAACACACACCACACATAAATGAATAAGTAAATAAATAGCTTTCTAATCTGAGCATACTAAAAAGCAGAGCTGTAGGTTGCCTGGGCTACATAACAAGATCCTGTATCAAAAACAAAGTAAATGTTTTAAGTCTTGGGCCTCACTAATAAACTGGGAATCCTGATACTAATTAGAACCCAAACAAGTGTGATGGAAGAATTTCTGCATAGTTCAATTGCTTTTGAGTGCTACATTCTTGAAGACCACTTCTGATCCCAAACTCTCATAATTCAAGGCTAGTCCTGGCAAAGGAGGACAAGTAGGTCTGTGCACCTGCCAACAGGTATACCAGGAATAGATTCAGCTAATCAACTTAGGAATTAGGTATCACTCAATGAGTTCATTTTTAAATTTGTGTATATGTTGCATGCGTGGGTATGTGTTTACGTGTGTGTGTGCTCGCATGTGCTCACCATAAGTTGACATTGAGTATCTTCCTCAATCACTCTCCACCTTATTTTTTGAGACATTTCACACTGAAACTGTAGCTCACTGATTTGGCTGGACTTATTGGCCAGTGAGGTCTAGGGATCCCCTTGTCTCTGCCCCCCAGCACTGTGATTACAGGTATGTGCCCCCATGCCCAGCTTTTTATATGGGTTCTGTAATCCAAACTCAGATCTTTGTGCACAGCAGACACTTTACCACCAACTGATCCATCTCTCCTGCCTTAGTGAGTTCATTTTTAATTCAAGAATGAAGAATTACTTATATTTTTAACTTGAATGAATGGAAACTTTAACATTTATAGAATTCTTTTTACAGTCACATTTGTTTAATATGGCCATATCATATTCTAAGACAAAAATCATCATTTTAATAACAATGTTCCTGTATCAACTGGTCTAGAATTAGCAATTACATCATCAATTAACCACTGGATTACCAGAGTGAGAATGGGAGCACATTTGCAATCACTTTCATTTCCTATTACAATTATATCAAAGTTCAAGGATAAAATTATATGCTTCTTTACTAAGAACATTTTTGTACTCTCTACTCTTTTGATCACTGCCAGGAGAGCGCTTTGCTATGCCCTACTACACACACACACACACACACACACACACACACACACACACACAGGCATGCATGCATGCACACACGCATGCCCATACAATTTGGCAACCACGCTGTCTGTCTTAGAATTGAAGATTTTTGTCTGCCATTTATTTATGCTGGAAGAAACCCAAGATCGTTTCTTTTGTTTGGTCTTATTTTATATTTTTGTGTTTTGGAAAAATCACCTTATTGAGGTGTGATTAACATATGAAAGCTGAGCCTATTTAATATACACAACTTGATACATTTAGCGATGAATGCACACCTATGACACTGTCCCCACAAGCAGCCTCATAAACATATCCATCACGTCTACATGCTTCATCCCATCCTCCTGCTCTTTTTGACAAGAACACTTAACTAAGGTCTACCATCTTTGCAAATGTTAAGCATACAGTTTCCAGTTTACATTACTGTTGCTGCAGGCATAGACTGTGTAGCAGACTTGTAGGACTTAGTCATCTCACATAACCTAAACTTTGTACCCTTTGACCAATACCTATTTCCCTTCATTTCACCCCCGGCAACCACCATTCTATGCTCTGCTTCCAGAAGTTTGGCTATTTTGGAGTCCTTATCTAAGTGGAATCATACAGTATTTGTCACTCTGTGTTTGGCCTTTTTAGTATACTATCCTGCAGGTAGTGCACGTTGTTTACAAATTACAGTCTCCTCCTTTATGCTGAATAATATCCCATACCTCTATATACATATTTTTCCTTTAGCCTTTCACCCATCAGTGGAAGTTTGGGATATTTCCATTTTATGGCTATTTTGAATAATGCTACAATGAGGTGGGAATATAAATATATATTCCATTGATATATACCATATTTCATCTGGGAACACAAATGTAGAATTGATAGAGTATACTATGGTTCTAGTTTTAGTGTTTTAAAGAACTGATTTTCATTGTTGCTGCGCCAATTGACATTCCTATCAACATTGAACAGCAGTTCCCTGTTCTCCACATCCTAACCAACACTTGTACTGGGAGAATTTAGAAAATAGCTCTCCTAATGCTGTGAGATAATGTCTCATTGTGGTTTCAGTTTAGCTCTTCCTGATGATGAGGCACATTTTCATACATCTGTTGTCTTCTTTTTGTCTTCTGAGATGAATTCTTGAAAAGACCATAGGACCACTGTGAGTTCTTTCTCTGTCCACCCATTGACTGTGCTAATGTGCTCAACCTTTCGGAGAACATGTCAGCGCTGTCCTCAACTTGACTGTCTGTAAAGCAGGTGTTAATCAGCTGCATTTCAAGTACTGCTTTGGAAGAAGAGCCTTGAATTCTCACCCATGCTATACGTGACAGCAGCACGGTTATAAAAGATTGATATTCACAGAGGAGGGTCTCTACTCTGAAGTCTTGTCCTGGAATAAGCCAGACTGCAGAGACCCCTGTACACAGACAGTGGCCTTTAGCCTCCATAGAGCTGCTATCCTGGAGCTGTACCTCAGCCAGTGTTAAGAATTGTTCTAAGGGATGTGCCACTGTGTCTTCTCTGAGGATGCTGTGGTGGGTGCTAATAATCACCTCTGCCACAAAAAAAGTGTATGTCAATGGTATCTGTGATAAATAGACTAGCCTAAAAAGCAGGGTTGTTTTAAATTTGCAGACCCTGTGTGTCGTGAACTCTGTCATCCTTTCCTTCTTGCACTGGCTGCTAAGATGCTCAGTGAAAAGCTTGAAGCCTGTTTCTAGACTTTGCCAAGACCTATTACCATCATTTATTTCATTAACTAACTTCTCATTTAACTTTTTATGCCTCCTTCATTTTCATTGTTTTTTCCATTTTATTTGATCAGAACAATTAAAAATAATTCATGATTAAGTTTTAGTTTACATAGAAAGCCAAATGTGTTTACTCAATCTATTTTTTAATGTAGATTAGTATAAAAACCTAATTAAAATCTAGGTCTTGGAACCAGTGAGATGGCTTAAAGAGTCAAAGCACTTACCACATAAGCCTAACCACCCTAGTTGAATCCCTAAAACTCACTTAGCGGTAGAAGGAGAGAACCAACTTCATGAAGTTGCCCTCTGATCTCCACATACACGCTGTTGCACATATGTGCCCACATTCATACACATGTAACACACACACAAATAATAGAAATAAATTAAATAAATAAATAAATAAAATCCAGAGCAACCCTATTACCTAGCATTAATTGAACTGTTATTATCATGGGTTAACATTCTCTCTTTACTGTCCAAGGTACACCTTTGAGATCAGAACACACTCTCTGTCTCTCCCTGGATGCCGTCATATATGTAGGAAGGATTATCTGCAACCTCAGTGTTGTCCAGGCCATTGGGGCCCAGACTGCATGGGTAAGTGACACAGCCCTTGGACTTTGACACGTGCTTCTCCGGGTCCCATTTCACAGATATTTGACAGAAAGGAAGCCGAATAAAAGAACATGACTATGATTTTCTAGGAAATTTTCATTCTTTCTACACATAGAAAAACCTATCTTTTCCTCAGCTTTTATATAGGAATCTGTTTGCCACAGTTAATGATCTCCCTTTAAAAGAATTCCTTGGAGCTGGAGGGTTGGCTGAGCAGTTAAGAGCACTGGCTGCTCTTGCAGAAGATCCAGGTTCAAATCCCAGCACCTATATGGTAGCTAACAACCACCCATAACTTCAGTTCCAGGGGATCCAATGCCCTCTTCTGTTTTCTGTGGGCACTGCACAACATGGGTGCACTTAAATATATGCAGGCATAACATAATATACATAAACTATAGGTAAATTTAAAAATTTTTAAAAACTATGTATAGGTAACTATATATGAAATTATATGCAAAAGTATCTATACATAAAGCCTAATGTATACATCATGTATACCTAAAACCACATCTATGAAATGCTACATGTTAGAAATACTAACAGTGTGAGGAAACACATTTGTTAGCTAAAACTGGTTATAGAGGCCAGAACTCAAACACTGATTGAATCTTTGCTATGATATGAAAATCATGTGAGCCCCTCCTCACTTTCGGTATCCAAAAATCAGAAATTTTAATTCATGGATTTACCATTTGTCCCCTAGCTTCTAAGACAGGATGAAAATATCTCCCTGGGATCCACTTAAAGGAGAAGTGTGTTCTCTTCCGCTTTTTTACCTGCTAAAGCAACAGAAGCAAACTTTACAACTTCTAAAGTTCAGAGAGACCTTTCTAAACAAGGGGAAATACTCAGCTCATACACTGTCACAAGTAGAAACTCTAAGTCTTTGGGGCTTATGATGTTTTTTCCGTATGTCTTCCAAATTGTTGAGCTCATGTTATGCACATAAAATGTCTGTTTATTTTTCCATAACTAATGATTAAATGAATAATAACATCCACTTATTCCATGTTCCTGACATGGAAGCCCTTGGCCAAAATCAGCTGATAAAATCTATGAAGCAGACTTTTGAATTAGACTAATTTATTCCCATATTGAATAAGGGGGATTAGATATTTGAAGAGTATGTCTTCCCAGTTTCCTTTTGGGATGCTAAGTCCTAAGACAGACACCAAAGGCTGCTCTGTATCCTCTCTTTATATCTTGTCCACTGCCTAATACAGAGCTTATCGAAGGGAGAGAGAGAGAGAGAAAGAGAGAGAGAGAGAGAGA